TATGTACTACATAGCTGTGGGGGCTCTAACCCTTAAACCACCAAACCTAAAACCCGAAGCCCTAAACCCTAAACCCCCTAAACCCCCTAAACCCCCCAAACCCCCTAAACCCCCTAAACCCTAAACCCCCTAAACCCTAAAAACCCTCTAAACCCTAAACCCTTTAGTCCCCTGTCTGCTGTCTGAATCCTTGGCCTTGGGCAAGCGTCGCCACGCGCATCTCCGCCGAGGCCTCCAAGTGAAGGCCTCGGACCTGGGCAACGGCCTCAGCATACTTAATAATGGTCATAGGAGCTATAGTCTAAACTCCTTAAAGGGGGGGTTATGTAGGGGATTATATAGGGTTTAGGGGTTTAGGGTTTAGGGTTTTAGGGTTCAGGGGGTTATAAGGGGCCCAATAATGAAGAATCAAATGGAAAAGAAAATGGACAATGAAAGGGAAACCCTAGGTCCCTTTAAGGGGTATATAGGGATATTACCCGCAATAATGGAAAAGAACATGGAAAATCAGATGGAAACTAGGATTATAGGGTAGTTTGTAGGGGTGCCTCTTCTGCGATGGACCGGTTGTCCCGGTCCCGGGGACTGCTGAACCTTCCCCGACACACCAGGAGCCTGTCTGCAAAGGTCTGCCAATCACCTGACATGCACAAACACACATGCAGGCGGATCATCACGGAACATGAGGAGAATTGCTGATTCCCTTTTACCTTAAACTATAGTAGTTCCATTTTCTTTTCCATTAACCCTATATCACCCCAATATACTATAGTAGTTTCCATTTTCTTTTCCATTAATCTTGGGTACTGCCCCCCCTGTAACAGTCTATATTGGGGGTCCTATTAAGGGCTATATATAACCATATTATAGTTATAATCCAACTGTTACTGAGGGGGAGCAGTACCCAACATTAACCCTATATATCCCGAATATACTATGTGGTAGGGGTCTCTGGATCCTACAGTCAAGCCACAGCCCGCAGCGGCTGCAGTGGCGTGAGCTACGTAAGCGAAAGGTGCATGCAAAGTTTCTTGCCAGTTCTGACATGACAGCATGCATTACCCATTACGCGACAGCACCATGTGAACTCATATATTGTATTCCGTTTATCCCCTAATATACTATAGTAGTTTCCAATCTGTTTTCCATTATCCCGGTATAACGCCGATATACTATAGTAGTTTCCATTTTCTCTTCCATTATCCCTATACAGCCCTAAACCCTAAACCCTAAGCCCTAAACCCTATACTGTAGTAGTTTCCATTTTCTTTTCCATTATCCCAATATATCCTAAACCCTAAACCCTAAACTCTAGTCCCTAAACTATATGTACTATAGTAGTTTCCATTTCCTCTTCCATTATCTTTATATTCCCTACTCACCCCAAAACCTAAACCCTATACTATAGTTCCATTCTCTTTTCCATTATCCCAATATAATATATCCCCAACCCTCAGCCCTAAACCCTAAACCTTAAACCCTATACCCTATACTATAGTTCCATTATCTTGTCCATTATCCCACTATAACCCAAATGTAGCCCTAATATAACCCTACTATAACCCCAATATAACCTACCTATAACCCTAATATAACCCTAATATAGTCCTAATATCACCCTAATATCCTAGCTAATGTTCAAACCCTAAACCCTAAACCCTAAACCGTGTGGCTAATGTTCAGACCTTCAGAACACATCGGACCCTCGAAGCGGCCTGGCACCGTGATGCTGTCCAGCAAGCGCTCGCGGCTCTCAGCCTGAGTTGCTGTTGAGGAACTTAATCTAAGGGTCTTTTGGGTTAGGGTTTCAGGATTTAGGGTTTTAGGGTTTAGGGTTTTAGGGTTTAGGGTTTAAGGGTTTAAGGGTTTAGGGGTTAGGACTATACCTGCGCATTATGGTAACTTGATTTAAGTTCCTTAAAAGCAACCCAGCAGCATCCAGCTCCACGCCTGAGCAGTCCACCGAGGCAACTGCCTGGTCACCAGACGAAAGCGGCGCTTCGGGTTGCTTTGCTTCTGGCTCCGTCGGATCCTCCGCGGGTTCCACGGCCTTCTGCGCAGGTCGGAAGGCGGTGATGTATCGCTCGGCGCCCTCACCGAAGCTCTGGCTGATCAGGCCCAGCGTCTCAGCTGAGGCATGCACAAACTTCCGCTCCAAGCCCGTCAGCGTCTTCGGGAAGAGCAGGGAAGCCTCAGGGAGTGGCAAAGCAGCCTCCATGATTTGCAGATCGCTGGCAGAGGCCGTAACCTCCTTCTCCTCTTCCCCTTCAGGACAATCCTCAGCCCATATTACCTTAGGAAGAAAAAGGATCCTTTTTACATAAACATAAGGAATCCCATACCCCAAACAAGCAGAAAGGATCCCTAACATTGATCCAGAATCTAGACGCACGGTGAAGGCCCCTCCCAGCAGGCTGTTAGAGGCAGGCACGGCCCCTCCTTGGTTGGGCTTTGGAACCCTTTGAAAAATGTTAATATCTAGGGTCCTTATGAAACCAATTAGGGAAAAATATTTAAACCCTAAACCCTAAACCCTAAGCCCTAAACCCTAAGCCCTAAGCCCTAAAAAGTATCCCAAAGGCCAAGCCAGCCTCTCACCGTGCCTCGTCGGCCATGGAGGCCCAGGCGATCGCCGCCCAAAATCCGCAGCTCCACGACATCCCCGACGCGAGGCACAGCCTGAGGCTCCCGGCCTTGGGCCAAGGCCTGCCTAGGTTCCCCAGTAACCCCGAAATATATTGGGATAATGGAAACTACTATAGTATAGGGTTTAGGGTTTAGGGCTTAGGGCTTAGGGTTAAGGGTTTAGGGTGTATGGTTTAGGGTGGGTTCCCCAGTAATTAACCCCAAAAAGGAAACTACTATAGTAGAATGGGATTATATGGGGGTTATGAAGGGATTTACAAAAGAGTTATATTGGCCTGCCTAGGTTCCCCGGTAACCCCGAAATCATATGGGGGTGTATAGGGATAATGGAAAAGAAAATGGAAACTACTAGGGTTTGGGGTTTGGGATATATTGGGATAATGGAAAAGAAAATGGAAACTACTACATTATTATAGGGTATATACTGGGGGGTGGTACACCTTGTTCTCATTATTTTGGGCTTTAGTAAGAAGACCCCAAAATAACAATTCAAAAAAAAAGTACTACTGGGGTACCTAGCTTCAGCTGACTCATCAGATCCTCACGCCGCTCTTGTGGTAAAGACTCGAGATCTCCTGGGCCTTTGCCATTATTCTTACCTCCCTTGCCTCCTCCTTTGCCTCCCTTGCCTCCTTTACCTCTGTCCTTGCCACCTTTCTGGCCTTTCTCCCGGCCTTTGCCTTGTCCTCGGCCCTTTGCATGGGCGAGCCAAGGATTGGGAAAAGCAGCTGAGCCATCTGCCTCCATGTTTCAGGCACTTTACTTTAATGAGGGGTAGGGGTTAGGTGATATTGGGATAATACAAGGGGTTATATAGTAAGGGATAATGTAAAGGAAAATGGAAACTACTATTTAGGGTTTAAGGTTAAAGGCTATAACAACTTCAGGCACCTTCATTGAAGGCTCACTGCCAGAGCCGATTCACACACACCGCGGTGGTCCAATGCACATGGGCATGCACGCAAACATGGGCCAATCATCCAGCGCACTCACCGAAAATGCCAGCTGGGTGCGTGCATATGTATATGTATATTTACATATGTGTCTACATGCAGAAATATACATGTAGAGGTGTCTATATACACATAATATATGCTATATACTATATATATATAATATACATATATACGCATATGTACATATACACATGTACAGGCAACTACACAGCCTATCTGGGGACTTTGGAGAAGTCTTCAAGAGACCTTCAACGAGGAGCGGGGATTACTCTGGGAGTTTGGGATGGCCACTGGGCCCTTACAAGGGACAATGGTACCTGTGCAGGGGGGATATCTGGAGCATGTATGGATAATGTGCTTAAAATCACCACCCCTATCTAAACCCAGCTTCCATTTCATTTTGTTCCGTTTGAATTGCCATTGTGGGTAATTCTACCCTTAACCGTTGGAAACTCTAAACCTTCAATCATCTGATAGTTCCCTTCCTTGGGCTAACTTCCCTTAAAGCCTATATATCCCTAGACCCCGTATATGGTGGTTTCCCAAAACCAAAGTACCCCTATGTGGCCCCCCAACACGCTATAATCCTCGTACGGGGCCCCCCCTTAAAAAGTACTCCTAATTTGGGGTGTCATCCATATTCAGTCAATGCCCTGAACTCTAAAGCCTACACCTCCTATATATCCCCAAACCCCCCCATATACTCCGTCTTTGAATGATCTAAACACCCTAAACCCTAAACTATAAATCCTGTACCCTAAACCCCCAAACAGTTATGCAGTATTTGAATCACAGCTTTTTGTTGAATGCCCTGAACCCTAAACCCAACCATATATATATATATATACATATTCCTAAATGTCCCTAAACGCCTCCATATTCGCCCGAAACGCCTCCATATTCGCTCTTTGAATCACGACAGCTTTTTTGAGACTAGCGCTGTTCAGCGCTCTGGCGCTGCCGGTCTAATTCCGGCTGCCGCTGCAGGTTCCTTCAAGAGGAAAAAGGACAGAACAAAAGATTCTTAAGGGGGTTTAGAGTTTAGGTCTTAAGATCTATGCACAGGAAAAAACGCTAAAGGAGTTTGAGGGTTTTGGGTTTAGGATTTAGGGCTTTGGGTTTAGGAGTTAGGGCTTAGGGTTTCCGATTTAGTATTTAGTAGGATTCAGGATGTAGGGTTTAGGAGTTAGGGCTTAGGCTTTATGGCGACCAGGGGTTGAACCAAGTTAGCCGTCATCCTGCAGGAAATGTTGCGGATTGTATAGACGTAGATGAGCTATAGTCTACACTCCTAGTAGCCCCTTTAGGAACCCTATCATACCCCTTGATATAATCCCCTATATAACACCCTTTAGGACCCTAAATCCTGATCCCTATATAACCCCCTTTAGAGAGAGTTGAAACTATAAGTCATATGGGGCGTATGAAAGTTGGAATCCCATCTGCGGGGTAATGGCTTGGGCATCCTAAGGAGACCCCCCCTTTGGGCATAGTCTAAGTTCCTTAAAGGGGGCTACATAGGCGATGATATAGGGGACTATTACAGGGGTTACTAAGGGAGATGCTAGGAATCTAGACTATAGCTCGTTTGGGGAATTTCTCGTGCGCTGGCTGGCCATGAAATGGTTGCTGCGCAAATTCTTGCATCTGTGCGACCATGAATATCGTTGCCAAAACATAGCGTGCCACATGAGCTATACCCTAAACCCTCAACCTTAAACCTTAAACCCTAAACCTTTTTGGGAAATCCCCGTTGGTCTGCGGGACGGGATGCTTCTGAAGGTCCGCCAGCGGATCACTGCGTCGGAAGGCATCCGTGGCTAGGGCCTCTTCTCGTGTTGGCACGCCAGGAAGCATATGAGCAGATAGGGGTTAAGGATGTAGGGTTGAGGGTTTAAGGGAATAGGGGGCAGCAGTACAAGAACAATAGTCTAAACTCCTTAAGGGTGATTATGTATGGGATTATAGAGCGGAGTCTTATAGGGGCTACTTAGGGGGATACTAGGAGTTCAGATTATGTCTCATATGTGTACCAATTTGAGGGCAGGGTTTAGGTGTTGGGATCAAGGATTCTGGTTTAAGGGTGGTTTCATGACGGATGCGGCAGAATACGTCGGAGCGTCTAGAGGACGTATAGAAATGCACCACATGTCTTTCTTCACACGATTCCTTGCCTGGCTTTCTTCTGGGCTTCAGCAAGGTTCCACTGGGATTGAAATACATAATATGTAGGGTTTAGGGTTTAGGGTTTAGGGTTTAGGGTTTTTGAATACTTGGAGCCCAGTGATTATATGTAAACTCCCGAATACTATGGCCCTTAGGGGCACCGAAAAGGGTACCCCTGCTTTTCCCCTCAAGTGCCACAAGAGCAACATAAGAAGGGACTGGAGGCAACTCCCACAATCCCTTCTGAATAACCCTTTTTGGGTGCTTGAATCTAGTAGGATCATATTCCTTGTATATGAAATACTATAAACCATAAAGAAGGTATAATCTCATCCTATATTGAGAGCCATAGCATCTCACCAAAAAATACTACTCTTCTGAGGGCCCTGCCAAGTCCATAAGAGTACTTCCCTCTCCAGGCTTCTTTCCGGCCATTAGGTCCTGCGGTGGCTTGAAGATGAAGGATTTAGGGTTCAGGATTTAGNNTTTAGGGTTTAGGGTTCCCAGAATCCCCAGAAGACTGATGAAAAGTGCCAACAACCCACACACCTCACAGCCCAAAACCCTCTAGAACCTGTGTGTGAGAAGCTTCTCCTACTCAAAGAGATCGGCTCTGAGCATTTGCTTCAGCACTTACTCTGTCCTGACCCCGGAATATCCGAACACTAGCATAAAGAAGAGGGACCCGCAACACGAGCTATGGACTAAACTCGTCAGTATCCCCATTACTAGGTAGTCCACTACATGACCCCCTATAATTCCCTTTTGAGGAGTTTAGACCGCAAACCCTATGTAACCCTATATGACCCTATACAACCCTACACAACCTTATATAACCCTAATTATGTAATCCCCAAGTTTCTCCCATGAGGCTTTAGACAGCAGCTCATCCTGCAAGTAGCTCTCGCGCGGCGGGTCGCCGGGCCGGTTTTGCAGGAAATCCCGGAACCATCCAACGGCCTCAGCCCAGGGTTTAGGGTTGAGGATTGAGGCTTTAGGGGTTTAGGGTTGAGGGTTTAGGGGTTGAGGCTTTAGGGTTGAGGATTGAGAGTCTTTTTATGGGACTTTTTCTCCAAGGCCATGCGTCCCTGAAGATGCTTTACAGCACAGTACTTGGTGCATACTACTTACGTAGCCAGTGACTTAGGGTTAATTGCTTACTTCCCGGAGAGCCCCTCAGTGTTTTCACCCCAGGGTTCATCGAGGTCTGGTCCATTCAAGGGGTTCGGCATCTCACCATCACTGACTGAATCACCCATCTGCGTCGTGCCCACCCCTTCTCGAGCCGTCCCAGACCTTGAAGGCCCTGATCCCTCTAGCCCTATAATCCCCTATATAATCCCAGTTTCCATTTCATTTTCCATTTTCTTTTCCATTTGATTCTCCATAATCCCTATATAATCCCCATAATCCCTATATAATCCCTTGCATCGGCGAATGCAGCCCCTGACACTTCTTCAGCAGATTCCACTCCGAGAGTCCGAGAATGCCAAGGGCACTCGACCCTGTTGACCCCATCCCTTCTGCAGCCCCCACAGTCACCAGGCCATCCCCAGGATTGAGGGTTTAGGGTTTAGGGATTAGGGTTTAGGGTTTAGGGATTAGGGTTTAGGGATTAGGGTTTAGGGTTGAGGGTTTAGGGCTGAGGGATTAGGGTTATGGGGCCCGAGCAGCACTGTCATTGCACGGAAAAGCAATCATAATCCGCACCGTGCCAAACATTACAAGCTAACATAGTATGCATGTATGCGCAAGAGTACTGCTAGGAACCTCAGAAGTCAGAACGAGAAGAAGATAATCCCTAAACCCTATAGTCCCCCTTAATCAGGTAGAATATGGGGTTTATGGGGATCTTATTATAATATGCCCAAGGCCATATTCTATCAACTCAAGGGGGACTATAAACCCTAAGACTAGGCCGGGCAGGGATAATCATTGCGGTGCTGTTTGCAGCCACGGGTGCTTGCTCTGGCCAGCCCTGTACTTTTCGCACCCAGTCAAAGTCCGAAGCATACCTCGCGGACTTTTGAAAGGTTCGCACCTTCCCAAGATTCCCATAGAATCCCTATAAAATCTGTATAAAACCCTATATAGTCACTATATAATCACTATATAATCCCTGGAATATCCCGATATAAAACCCTATACAATCCCTTCACACAAGCCCAATGCACTGCAGGGTCCTGGTGCAGTTGTAGACATCCCCGTCGGCAAATCCCAGTGCAAGATTCTTCCCCTGCGCTTCATTCGCCAGGATGTTCAACCGATCCTAGGCTGAGCGCAGGACAACAGTACCTCAATGGTGTGCCCAAATATTGTAGTATATTGTTGATAATATCATAATACACTAGTGTAATATAATATCTTAGATTATATCAAAAATATATTATAGTATACTAATACATATTTTGATATGTTATAATATATTAACACATATTATATTATAGTATACTTTAATATATCAGAATATGTTATACTATATTAAAATATACTATAGTATATTTCTGTACCCAAGATGTCCGCGCCCTACCCTGCTCCATTGAGCGCTGCCGAGCCACGCATCCATCTCGCCAGTACCTGCAACAACTCTTAGCTCTTTCTAGCCCATGCTCTGGGAGTACTTTTTCTTGGGGGGCCCCAATAAGAAGGACTATAGTAGTTTGGGGTCGATATAGGGGTCCCCTTACTTTGGGAAACCCGAATATAGGGTTTGGGCATACCCGAGACTCACATGGAGCAGTAAATGGATTCCACATGCACACAAAAAAAATCAGTCTGTGAGCGCAGGGCACGTTTCTGCAACTTCCACGTCACCTCAGGCAAGCTTGATCTCTTCCTATGCCACCCAAGCCTTCACACCCTGAAACTCTACCCCCTGCGCACTTCATACTCTTTTGGGGAGATGGTGCTGCTACCATGACGGTCCTTTCTACAGGGCAGTCCATGGGACCCATAGCCTGAGAAAGATAAACAAAAGACTAACCCAGACCCCTGATTGATAAACCCCTTCCCCTTAATAGGGATTATAATAGCGATCCTAATATTAAGGCCCTTCAAAAGAGGGGGTGTATTTATCATGGGTTTATAAACATTAGACTCAAAAGGAAAAACTAGTCTTACTCTTCATTGTCGACTAGAGTATCCCCATTTAAAATGCTCGCGCTGCTGCTTCTATGTCTACTATCCTACTCCTCCTACTTGGAGGGTCATGGCGACTTAGCAAGTAGGTTAATAATGGGGATTATTGGGGTTGTTATATTGCTTGTAGGGAGAATTAACCTACTTACTTACTAAGTCTCCCTGACCCTAAACCGTACTTTCCATTTTGCCACGTTTACTATATGGCCTTTGGGCGTTACTACTACCCTACGTACTCCTCCTACAGTGCTCACTAAGTACCCCTGATCTAAACCCTGAACCCTAAACCCCTTAAAGCCCAAATTTCCATTATCCCAAAATAACCCCAATATAACCCCTGTATAACCCTATAATATAGAAGCTCCCATTTTCTTTTACATTATTACTAAATCCCTCCTGACCCTACTCCTCCTACTGTGCTCGGGCCCGCACCTTTATGCCAAGCAATGGCCACCATCGCCATCCTCGCATCAGAGTCGGCCTGCACCACCTGAGTGACGGTGGCCGCAGCAAGAAGACTTGTGAACAAGTCTTAGCAGCTGGGTTTAGGGTTTAGGGGTTTAGGGGTCCAGGGTTTAAGGTTTAGGGTTTAGGGGTTTAGGGTTTAGATGTTTAGGGTTTAGGGGTTATCTGGGGGAGTCTATGCCTAGCAATAGTTCTGGGAAAGCAGTAGCAGTGCTAAGAAACGTGATGATAATGGCAGTGAAGTAGCCACCGAGAAGACTACTAGGGCGCAGCAATTTAGTAAGAACTTTCATAGTTACAGCAAGAGAGTACGATCAACAGCACTAGGAGCAGCAACGAGAACAACAACCACAGAAAGCATCATCACAACAAGAAATCACCAAGGGGGAGGACCAGGACGAGTAAGAATATTCCAACTCGAAGCAAACCCTTACCCGAAACCCCTAAACCCCTACACCCCAAGCCCCTAAACCCCTAAACCCCTTCACATGCCTAAGCCCTTGGCCTTAAGCCCCTCAACATCCCTAAACCCTAGGCCCTAAACCCCTACACCCCCAAACCCTAAACCCTAAACCCCATTATGGGTTTCCCCAATAGAGTAACCCTAAACCCTACACCCCAAAGTGGGTCCTTTCGACTATAAGGCTCCGACGCGCTGCAGGAGGGCCATATCCTGGGTTGCTGTTAAGGGACTTACATTAAGTTACCATAATGGGTTTAGGGTTTAGGGTTACCATAATGGGTATATATAGTAAATAAATGGGGTTTCCCCAATATAGTAACTTAATTTAAGTTCCTTAACAGCAACCCAGTATCCTTGCTCAACAGCCCCACGCTGCGCCGGATCACATTCACAAAGCCGTCCTGGTTTGTTTTTAGGAGTTAGGTTTTAGGGTTTTAGGGTTTTAGGGTTTGGGGTTTTAGGGTTTTGGGCTTTAGAGTTTAGGGTTTCAGGCTTTAGTTTTTTTTAAAGGCTTTAGGGTTAGGGTTCAGGGTACGTCAAGACTAGGGTTCTACTTCTAGAAATGCGTTGTAAGGACTTAACGACAATGCACTGGATTCTCAAGGTGCAACGCGAGAATCTAGAGGGTGTGCCTGCAAAACAACTGGTACCCCTTTGAAGACATTGTAGGATATAGAATTTTTGAAATTTGATAGAGATTTTCTATCTTTCCTGCATTATTCTAACCAAGGTCCACATATATTCCCCAAAAATATCAAACACCATTTGTAAATATTATGCCGACCCTGGACAATCATGCAAGAGAGAAGCCCAAACCCTATATACCCATTATAGTAGTTTCCATGTTCTTTCCCAGTATCCGCATATAACCCCGTATAACCCTAAACCTGAACCCCATACTATAGTAACCTCCATGTTCGTTTCCATTATCCCCACCCCCATATAACCCTAAACGCTAAACCCTATACCCTAAACCAGCTACCAAAGTAGTTTCCATGTTCTCTTCCATTATTCCCATGTAGCCCCCATATAACCCCAAACCCTAAACCCAAAACCATATACTATAGTAGCCTCCATGTTCTTTTCGATTATCCCCAAAGAACCCCCATATAACCCTAAACGCTAAAACCTATACTATAATAGTTTCCCTTTTCTTTTCCATTATCCCCATATAACCCCATGTAACCCCATAACCCTGAGAAGCCCCCTCCTCGGCACGGGCCAGCTCCTTCGCAGGAGCGGAGTGCAGACTCAAAGACTCAAAGGTTGCAGTGGTGTCCCAAAAGTCTCCCTAAACCCCTAAACCCTCAACCCCTAAACCCCTAAACCCCTGAACCCCTAAACCCCTGAACCCCTGAACCCCTCAACCCCTAAACCCCTCAACCCCCAANNNCCCCTAAACCCCAAATCCTCAACCACCCAAACTGCGTAGGACACTGCAGAATGGTCCCTGCCTGCTCCAAGCCCAGCAGGGCCACTGCGGCACGCTCCGCCGCAATCTCAGCCTTCGGAACAGCAGGGGATTAAATAAAAGTAGAGAGAGAGAGAGAGACAGAGAGAGAGAGAGAGAGATATATATATATAGATAGATATCACTACATGGTGGGGGCTACCATATATAAATACCTTAAACCCTAAACTAACCTCTATACATATGCATAAGTACATTATACAATTAAGCAGTTGTACAAGATTAACCCCTTTCAGCAGAATGCCACCCTAAACCCCAATCCCTAAACCCTATACTATAGTAGTTTCCATTTTCTGTTCCACTATCCCCATATAACCCC